GCTCTACACATCCATATACACAAGAATTTGACTGAAAATGCAAATAAATGATGAGTAGTTTGTTGTTTATTGACCTATTATTAAAGATTTAATTACGTAAGTAGTATTTGCAACATGACAGTTATTACAAGTATATTGATTAGGATGATACTGGTTTTTGATTGTTTATTACATAATGCACCAAATTATTACACCACCACATTTTGTAATAATTGCCACAAAATGTAATAACGTTATTACATAATATGTTGAAGACTTTTATTATATTTTGTGTCAGTTATTACATAATGTGGTTTTAGCACGAATTTGTTACATTTTGAAGCCTGATTTTATTACATTATTAGGCTYCGTAATGCGTTGTTATTYCAAKATGAGGTCTTGCAGGGTAGTTGCTGTCTTTTGAAGATGCTTCTTTAGGTAGAGACTGCAGTTTCATGAAGTCTAGTTAAATAAAGAGTGCAATGCCTAGATTTAGACCCTGGAGCTGAATCCTCCGCGCATTACTGCTCCTGTGGCTCTAATTTATTCTCGATGTTTTTGCTGGATTTTATTGATTTTGATTTTATACTCTATATTTGCCTTCTTGTGGATTTTTTTTATTTTTATTTACTATCCAACTTCTTTACGCTAAGGAAGTTTTTTAACAGCTGCAGCAGTTTGCCTGGTTTACCGTACGTTATGCAGAAATGGTCTTATTGTGTTTTAAACCAGCAGTTCGGCTATCGAGCCAGTATGCTACCAGGAATTTTAATTGCTTCAGCCTTTCTCAAATAAAATCAGTTCAAGATTTCAGTATTTGTTAGGCCTTCCTCTCTTGATGCTGAACAGCGGGGCTGTTAAATGTGGTGGGGCTTCTTTCATTCATCGACCTTTAGGAGTGAGTTTTAACGAGTGGAAATGCAAACCTATACAAAGCTGATAGATGAAAGCTCGTTGGTTATAATAGTTTTTTTTTCTGAATGAAAGGATAGAAAGCCTGGAGAAAAAGAATGTGACCCCCGAAAGTAAGATCCCTTTGGCGGTGCAAGTCATTTTCCACACGTTGAGGGAATAAGAAAAGTTTTTTTTTTTATTTGACAAACGGAGAAGAAACACCAAATGACACATCTTAAAAACATCTCTCAGCAAGTGTTTGTCAGAGGAGAGGAAAAAGAAAAAAAAGTGGGGGGGCTAATGCTCACCACATGTGTTCTTGCTTCACTCTGTCCTGCTGTCGTGTCCTCGTCCATCCAGGGCTTTACGTTGCAATAAAAGGGGCCAGAGAAGCTGCGCTCTTCCAGACAGGAGCGGATGGCGAAAATCAAAACACATGCTTTGATGTTCCACTCCGCTCTGAAAGTGACTGCGTGCCTCACTGACAGCCGGAGTCACGTGGGGGCGAACAGTACGTTGCTGTGTTTCTAGTCTCGTGCTCGGGCTGTTTGAAGTTCACGTTTTCATCGGTTCTTGGATGAAAGATGATTTTTCTGAGACATCTGGATGCTGAAGTATTGAACGTCATCTGTTAAAGAGCAATCATAAAAAAAAGAAGTTGTTGTTGGAGCTGCTATGACGTTCTTTCTTGTCTTTAGTGTTGGTGAGAACTTTTAATGACCTTTGTGCTTTCTTTTTTTACTCACACYAGTTGCTTCTGCATTGTTATTTTTGAGGTCCTGAACTGAACTGTGCTGAATTGAACTGACTTTTGACAAATGAAGCAATAAATCTGTTCTGCATCGAAACAGAAACTAGACGTGCTGCTGTTTTTACTTCACTTTTTAATAGTTCTGTAAAAGAAGGTAGATGGACACACAAATGACCTAATGTGTTCTAAACTCAACACAAAAACTAAGGAAATGTGTGCTTGGTAGATTGTTTCTGTGTTGAGGAGGTGCCAGGCTGTTGTGGCTGTGTATGGTTCTTCCACACGCTACTGAGGCTCCTGCTTGTAAAATGAATAAATTGTTAAACTGTCAATATGTTAAACACGAAACGAGTCGATGGCAGAATGAATTGTTCGGCGTTAACAGAGAGGATTTGGCAAATCGGTCATGTGCACAACCCACATACTCAGCTCTGCTGCTCATCCCACAAATGCATGATCCTTACAAATGTGGCACCATTTCAAAGAGAAATTAAAAGACTTTCTGATGTTAAAAGATTTTATTACCAAGAAGCATTGTTACAACAAAGAAATAATCTACCAGACACAAATGTTCTTTTAACTTTTCCTGAGATTTATACACTTTACTACTTCTGCATGTTTTGTTTTATTTTAGTTTTTATACAACAAAACATTCAGTTTATTCAAGATTTTTTATTTTTTATATTTTCTGAACAGTTCACTTTATTTACAAATGTTTTCTCTATTCCCTTAGCAAAACGTAGTATATGCAAGTATACTAGTTTTAAACTTAAAATAAGATACTTCCAGTTTACTTTTTATGAACTTATCTGAGATATACTTAACCAAGTTTATCTTACACTCTACTTGGCTTGTACTAAAAGTATACTAAAAGTTTAAGTATACTTATCTTATACTAATCCTTTTGGTCAAGATAAACTTTAGTAGTACACTTTTTACAAAGACTGGTTTATTTGTAGTATAGTTCAAGATTAAACTAAAACTAAACTTAGATTGCTTTCAGTATACTTCTGAGTATACTTTCATAAACATTTTGTGAGCCAATTTAGCCCCAGAAGAATACTTGTTAGTAAACTGCTAGTACACTTATATCAGTATACATGGTAAATAACTGTACACTTAGGGAAATACACTTTTATTTACTTTGGTATACTTAATGACATGTACTTAAAGTATACTTCTTTTTGGTAAGTTTATAACTTAAAAAGACATAACAGTATACTTAAAGTATACTTTTTATAAACTAAATACGTTCCAATTTTGTACGAACAAGTTTAAAATCAATTTACTTTCTAGTACACTACAAGTACATGGCGCCTAGTATACTTGACATACTTAAACTTATACTCAAGTATACTTATTAAAATGAACTTCAAGTATAGTACTTTTTGTTAAGGCTTGAAATACATTATTTCATACAAATTTTTTAAAAACAATGTTTTTTACAATTTGTACTATTTTGTCTTCTTTAACCTGGCCTTTTGCAAATTTTAGCTACTTTTCTTTTTACTTTAAGTATTTGCTGCTTTTAGCTAACGTTTAACTCAATTTAGCCTCTTAGCATCTAGCATTCAGCTACTGTTTTAAAACCTTTAGCTAACCCTTTCTTACTTCTTTTAGCAAATATTTTATTACTTGATCTTCTTCAGCACTCATCTTATTCACATACGATTCAATTAATCTAGTTTCAAGTTGATTTTTTAAAAAATATTTACATTTAATCTTGAGTTTAGTTGAATTCATTTTAAATTTGCATTTGAGGTTCCTGATTTATTTCAGGGAAAAAAAATACAATTCTTTTTAAGACAGCTACTGACTTAAAATACAGATTTAATTCTGAAAAAACCTGAATTTAAGACTGATTAAAAACTGTGAGGTTTATACAGCTCTCTATATTTTATTTAAAACAAAGTTTCTAAATGTTATGTCATCAATCTTTAGAGTCAAAGAACCTATTGAATATAGCCTTGAAAACTTGGGGTATATATTAGAAGGAACGTCTTTATTTTTTTTAAAATGAAAAGCGAAAACACTTGTCTAAAATTAAATATTTATTGAGTGTACTATACAAGTTGTGGAAAAGAAAGCAGAAAGCCCATGGTAATAAAAAGCCCAAATTCAACTCTTCAAAAGACCTTTGGAGAAGAACAAAAAAGAAAGACAAAAGATTTTTATTCAAAATGTTTCTCACTTGTGGAATTATGAAATAACAGCAATTCATCTGTAAAAATAATCCAAAGGTCAGCTGTAGCTGACAGATTAACAGCCTGCCGTCATGAGCAAAAATATTCCCAGGTTT